AAAATATTTATTTATAAAAACAAAAATTTTTAAACAGGTTTCTTTTTAATTATATTTTATAAAATAAAATATATTCGGTTATCAATTATTTTACAAATTCATTTTTTTTTTTAAATTTTAAACCATTGCGCTGTGAACGTGTAAGAGGTAAAAAAAATTTGAATTGAACTATATAACTAATACATTTGTATATATAATTATCTCAAAATCTAAGGCTTCATTTAAATCAGAAATTATAGCTCATAACATTTATGTTACGTTGGGCCTTTGCATGCATTTTGTTGGCATGAGGTGCAATATTGAAAATTATTATTTAAAATCTGATGGAACGCATCAAAAGTGTTGCTTTTCGAATCTTTTCGCTTTTTAAAAACAAAACTATGGTCACTGATATTTTCCATTACAATATATTTAATGTGTTCTATATAACTAGAATCCATTAAACATATCAATATAACGTATATTGATAACAGTTGAGATCAACTTTCAATGTCACGATTTAAATTTTTAAAAATCATATATGTTGTAATTTTTTTTTTTTTTGAAAAAAAATTTATTTGAATTTTATTTTCCTATATATACGTATATATTATAAATATAGAATTGTTGTAAATATATTTTTGATAATAACAATATAAAATAAAATTCAAATTATTTTAATTGTATTGTATTCTTATATATTTTGTGTATATAAAAAAATTGATAATCATTGGTTTTATGTTTTCAAAGGAAAATATTTGAAAAATAATTCCCTTGATATCAAATATTATATATAATATATAATAAATTATATAAATTTTCATGAATTACGGAGAAAACATTTTTTCCGATTATTTGGTTTCAATTTTTATGGATGTTATATTTCAGACTTTTAATTATTTGTTTTATTTTATATAAATATTTATTATTTTTATATATATAATTGGTTTAAAATTGGAAAATTGTTAAAAATGCTATTCGGTGGAAAATCGATTGTATCGATTTTAAAATTTTAAAAATGAAATTTTAAGAATAAAAATTTACTATAAGGGAAAACTTCATAAATTTAGCAAAAAAAAAATATTTAAAAATATATATATATATATTTATATTCTGAAAAAATTCTCTAATTCAGTATAATATATGTGATATTTGATATATATATATATATATATATATATATATATAAAATATATATATATATATATTTATCCATAAACATATTCCTGTTCTCATGTGCTTTTTCTTTTATAATTTATTTTAAAGATAATTTTTTAATGAAATTAAATCATATAAATATTATAAACTTATTAATGTTAATTTAATTTTTTTTGAATTATACCAAACTATTAAAAATTTATTTTAATTTATAAATTAATTTTTTTTCTTTCTTGTGGAAATATATAAGGAAATATAAAGATAGGAAAATATATAATATTTTAATTATCATAAAAAAAATGTATTTTAAGAGAATTAGAAAATGTAAAATATAGATATATAAATATTAATATTACAAAAATAAATTGAATTTAAATTTTTATATATATATATATATATATATATATCTAAGTATAAGAAATTTCCGTTTAAGATGGAATTTTATAAATTGCAAAATATTCAAATTTCTTATAAAAAAAATATTTCAAAAAATGAATATTGAAGGAGAATCTAGAAACAAGGGAAATTATAATAAAGAAAAAAGAAAAAAAATAGAACTGGACGTTTTTAAAATCTTTAAAGAAAGAAAAAAAAAATAAGTTTAATTTGTAAATTCAATATTAAATATAAAATATATATATATATATATATATATATATATATATATATAATATATATATATATATATTATCATATTGTAAATAAATATATACAAAATATATATTTAATATATATATATATATATATATATATATATATATATAATTAGAATTATTTTTGTTTTTAAAAATTTTCCTTCGCTACATAAGAGTTCTCATGTTTCAAAAACTAGTTTGTAAAACCTCAATATAATTATTAAAAATTAAATTGAATTAAAGTATCAAGCCCTGTTTCATCCTCAAGAGAAAATTTAGGAATAACCAATCTTGAAATTTACGCATCTTTATAAGCATGTTCATTCGTAAAAATAATTAAAAGGAAACGGCTGGGGCGATTTTTGGTAAATGCCTAAAGATAATTTTTATCCACATATCATCATGATTCGGAAAGAGGTAAAATTTAAACAATACCCAAGTTATGATATAAAATATCCATTTTCAAAGTGAATGATGGCATCCATGTCCCTTTCCATTTGTCTGGTCAGTCACATTTAAAAGATTAGCTTTTGGCACCATAATATGTCGTTAAATGTCTTTTTAATTTTGTTTTATTTTTTTAATTTATTTATTTATTTTTTTTTTTCTTTAACTGTTGTTTCGTACTTTAACGCGTCGCACTGAAATACAATTTGTTTTTTTGACGACTTCAAAAGGGTTTTTCTATCTTATGATTGGGTTAATTTTAAAAGATTTATTAGACTATGAAATTTAATTTTTTTTCTTTGCTAATTATTTAATGCGAAAATTTGTTGATGTCGACAAAAAACCGTTAACTCATGTCTATGATTTAATACATTTTCATTATTTAGAAACTTCATAATGTGTAGTTTTTCATGTAGGCATAAAGGACATGGGTCATCCCAGGTTTTACAAGTTCTATGTTTCTTTTTATTATTTTTCATTTTACTTTTGGTGTTTTATTTATTTCTTTTAAATGCCAAAAATATTTGGACAGATATGTCTGATTTCTATTTCTAATATTATAGAGGGAGCTTTTGTGTTGTCTCCATCTAATTTTAAATTCATTCTTCGCTGAACCAATGTATATCCTATCAGAGTTAGGACTCTCACTGGGTGAGCTAGTGCATTGGCATACCACAGATTTTTGTGCGGCATTTTTTTTCCAACGGGCAGTCTTCAGGGTTTCTACAATCACATAATTTTTCATTATTTTTTGTCTTTTTTAAACAGTTTTTTTAATTTGTTTTTTACTTTTACAATTGTTTGAATTTCCCAGGATTTTATTTTTTTTTTTTTTATGATTCTTTAAAAAATTTTCAAAAAAATATATAATATATATATATATATATATATATATATATATATATATATATATATAATTATATTCAAAAATATTTTTCAATTAAAATGTAAAACACAAAAAATATAGAAAATTGAACGAATTATTTTTATTGAATTTTAAAGAAAATGAACAATAAAATAATCGGAATTTTAAAAGGTCGAAAAATTATAATGTTGGTATTATTTTTTTATTTTTTTTAAGATCGTCATTCATTGGGCAGTGTGAAGCATTCCCATTTAAATAATATTTCAATTTTGTAAAAGTTTCTAAATAAATTAAGTGGAATTAGAACTTTATTCCTGGGCCAATGCCAGTTGACGTGTTTTTCTTATTTAAAAACCTCTTGAACACTTTGAGAACTTTAATTAAATTCATCTTTTAATCTAAGCGAATAGTCGCTTAACTTTAATGTGCTTAAAGTATTTATTTCTTAAAAGGCATTGGACAAACATTGTTTGGAATTTGTTACTTTAATCAATTTTCCTTATTATTTTAAATTTTTAATTAAATTTGATTCTTTATTAATCATCATATATATATATATATATATATATATATATATATATATATATATATATATATATTTATGATGTTGATTTGGGGTTAGTAGAGACAAACGCCAAATAACACGTAACAATAAAAAGGGTTTTAATAGGTTGGTAAAAGGTACAGAAATCGCCTGAGTAGTCAATAACTAGCTCAGCTAAGAACTTCTCTGTCTATCTATCTTCCCCATGTCAACTGACATGCCACTATTTAAAGTCTTTGTTCACAGACGCAGACAAGTTCATCTTCAAGAGGGGTGGTTCTTCAACAACAGGATATATATATATATATATATATATATATATATATATATATATATTTTTTAGACACATAATATCCTTTTATTTACGAATTCAGTTCTATATCATAAGATACGAAAAAACAATCCCAAAATATGCAATTGATTCAAATAGATAGATACAATATAATCTTTTACATTTCATTTTCTCATCTGACTGGTGAGGTTAGCATTAATCGATTAAAAAATCAGTTTAAAAAAAAGCGTTTTAAATTAACAAATAATTCCTGTTAAAATTTTTCTAAATAATTTTTAAATTAGCTGCCAATTTGACCTTATCGATCAGATCAACTATTAAAACAGGATTAAACAGTCCTTTTATCATTCATAATTACTTCGAATTATGAGGAAGAGATTATATACAAAGTTCACTGATGAAAATTAGGAACACGGTTGGCCCAAAGATAGAGCCCTGCTTTAATGCAGAAAGAATGATCTATTTAAGTGACCATTTTCATTTGCATTGTTCGGAATCGTCTTTGTTGCCATATTTATCTAAACGTTTCGGCCGTTGTAAACTCCGGCCTTTCTTCAAAATTAGGAATGTTGAATTCAACCATTTATTTTACTCGCTTGGGTAGACTGTTCTAGTTCCATTCTCCATGTTTAATGGATATCAGATATCAGTTCCTGTTAATTCCCATCCAAAGTTCTCCAATGTTTAACCAGGTATTTTTTAAATTATATTACTCTTTGGGTCCTGTCAAACTGGATCTAATAACTCCTTTATCCACTTTGCCATGTGTTTTTTTCTAAAAAACGTTGGGATAAATTTATGTATCAGAGATGGGGCGATAGTCGGAAGAATGTAAATAGTTTAAATGATACCTCATCTCAGAAATATAGACAGAAGAGTGGCCGTAAAAGAAAACTTTTATTTCGGGATTGAATCAGTTCAAAAATTCGACAGGAAATACCATGATCTTTCATGTGAGGAAGAACATCGAGTATGTTTTCACCATTCTGAGTGCCGGGAAGCCATGTAAAAACCCTATCAGGAACATTACAGTCCTTATTCGAATATGAAAAAGATTGCGCAGGTTAGTCTATTATATATATGTTTGTTTTTTCTTTCTCTCTTATTGTTTGTTTGTTTTTTCTTACTTATTGTTTGTTTTTTCCTTCTTATTGTTTTTTTCCTTTTTATGGTTTGTTTGTTTGTTTTTTCTTTTTTATTGTTTCTTTGTTTTTTTCTTTCATTCTTATTTGTTTGTTTTTTCTTTCTTATTCTTTGTTAGTTTTTTCTTTGTTTTTTTTTTATTCTCTCTTTTTTATTGCTAGTTTGTTTTTTCTTTCTTTCTCATGGTTTGTTTTTTTTTCATTCTTATTGTTTGTTTGTTTTTCTTTCTTATTTTTTGTTTGTTTATTAGTTCTTTCTTTCTTTCTTATTGTTTTTTATTTGTTTATTTAATTATTCTTTCTTTCTTTCTTTCTTTCTTTCTTTCTTTCTCAGATTTTTTTTCTTTAATAGAGCTAATACGCTACCGTGCAGACCCAATGTGATTTATGAAGGGCAGATAAAACAAACTTGGTCGAGCATGTCTCTTTTTCGAATTATGATCGCCTAAGACTAAGTGAAGAGAAATAACGTAAATGGAATTCGAACTCGAATCTTCGGGTTCAGTTAACTCGTTGCACGTCGACACTAAAAATATTTCATTAAGTCTCCAGGTTTCATGATATTTTTTTCGGCTATTATTCAGGCATTTTCCACTGTCTCCAAGACATTATCAAGAAATAAAAATTGTCATTATCGTAGCTAAGTATCCGACCTGATAGATTTCAAATTCATATAAAAAAAAAACATCCCATTTATAGAAAACAGGTTGAAAGCATAAAAAAACGAATATATTATTAAATATTTTATTCAGATTTGAAATATCTTTTTACGTATTTTAAATATTTTATACGCGAATATCAACTCTGAGAAATTTATCAATAATTTTCCCCCGTCTTTGCAACAACCTATTCGAAAACTGAAAAATACAATAAAAATGAACTAGACACACACTGTCGACTGAATTGAATAAAATCTATGAGATGGCTGTCTACTATTTGCATCATGACAAACGCACCACAGAGAATGAGGATTAAAAATCAAATCCCAGGAATATTAGGTTGGTACAAAAATAATGACGTAATAATATCGTTTTTGACGTTAAAAATACGTCAAAAAAACGACATTATTACGTCATTATTTTTGCACCAACCTAATAAAAATTCATTTTATAGTTATATACATATATAACCTACGCAAAACCGTGTAGTGTGCACTAATCGTTCATGTCATTTGCGTCTTCAATGACCAGTTACATATTCATGTCTTCATCCTAATTGATACTTTCTTTAAAAATCTATCAAATGTAACAGGTTGGTGCAAAAATAAAAACGTAAAATGTCGTTTTTCGTTAAAATATATATCAAAAACGACATTATTATAGTAAAATATTTTCTATAAATATATTATTTTATTAGTAAACATTTTAACAGTGACTCTCTAACTAGAGTGGCTCTCGTGTCTTTTAATTGAGGAAAGTTATTTGACGCTAATTGGAAATTTAAAATTTTCCAACTTTACTTCATGCCGACAGATATAATTTGGTTGCACTACAAAAATATACAGAAATTTAAAAACATCCAGAATTAATTTTGGAATATTTAGTTTAGTTATTTGAAATTAAATTAAATTTTTGTTTTTATTTAAAATTTATTAACTTAAAATAGAACAAAATACACATTTCAATCGCCACGCCAATATTATCCAAGGCAAAGGCAATATTCAATCAAAGGCAACACTGGCGTATCTACAGGAATTGTCCAGAAGGATTGAAAATCGGACTGTTAAATGTTATGTTTAAACTAAAGAACTCTTGCAAAAATTTCTTTGCATTTTTCCAGTCCCCATATTGAATGTTCTTTCTTAAAGAGAACAATCACTTCGCGTTCAAAATTTGATAACTTCGGCATCATGGAACAATAAATATTTAAAACAATTCTATATATTAGTTAATTTTTAGTTCATTTATATAATAAAGATTTATAGTTATTGATTTATATGTTAGTTATTTTTTTCACCATATGATCTAAAATCTAAAAATCCTGTTTTCATCATATAAGCTAAGATTTAAAATTTCCTGTATTTTTTTTCTGGCCCACCCTTTACAACTGACAGTTTTTTTTAAACTCATCCTCAGAACCACTAAAAAAGAACTGTATGAATTTATTTTATAAATCAAACATTCATTCATTTTTGATACCACAACCAAAAACTAAACAGCACTCCGAAGACACGAAAAGAAATTAATTGTTGCTTATCAGTTCGAGAAACTATATGAAAATTCCCAAGCGTTTTCACATACCCGTCCAGCTGACTTATTCAGCGTTCGAAAAGGAGGCACAAGAAGGCATAAGAGGAGATGAAAATCACAAGGGAACTTTCAGTGAAACTGACATTGAAAGCAAACAATATCTTGACAGATCTGAAGAAGGGCTAAGAAGATAAGAAAGTCTCAGAATTTTCTAGAACATTGAACCAATAAGCATTTCACGAATAGATTCGAGGATAAATGCTACTATGGAAGTAAAAAAAAATAAAGAGGACAATTATTTAAAGTTAGGTACCTTCAATGCCACTAAAAAAAAGACTGATTACATTCCATTACCACCGATCAGACCTCGAACTACCGACAGTTAAGATGAACGGATATTCCCTCGGGGTGGTCCCAAAAGTAATTTTATTCGGCCTCAACCTTCACCCGACCTCAAAATTCATTTATAGCGATCCATTTTTTAAAGATACAAATTTGGTTGATCGGCTTCCTGTAACTCCCCAGGTTTTTGAAAGTACATGATCCTCTCCTCGATCTGAATTCTTTGATCTAATGAAAATGGAGCATTTTTGACATATTTGGACAAGGGTTGCCCAGACCTCACTTTCTTTAATTTGGTAGAATCGTTCTAACTTTTTTAAAACTCAAATTGTTCAATGCATCTAAAAACTTTTCAAACTGGTAACATTTATTACCGCCTTTCATACTTTTTTAATGCCGATAAAATTAAGATGAACGTAATTCCCTCGGGGGAGGCCCTATTTAGAGAGGATATTAATAAAACAAAAAAAAAAAAATAATTTGAAAATTTATACGATCCATCGTTAAAGATGCAGGCAAAATGATCGGCTTCCTGTAACGTCTTCTTTGTACCTGAACATTTCAAATTTCTATCACCAATTCTGTTTAAAATACCAGATCATGATGAAAAAATTTTAAAAATACATCGTTTCTGAGTTGCCCAGAAACAGTTTTTTTTTGATAGAGTTTAAAAAAAAACTTCTTGAATCCTTGTTGGAGAAAATTTTTTCCAAAATCCAGCATTTTCTCTCTCTCTCTCTCTCTCGCTCTCTCACGGGTTCGGATGTGGCGAGTCTTTCTGCTCTATCGTTGTACTCTCCGGCCTTCTTCGGGTGGTTTGGAATGTCGAACTGAACCCCTCTATTTTACATCACTGGGGTTGAAGGTTCTAGTTCCACGTCCATGTCTTAATGGATGTCAGTTATCGTTATCTCCTGTTAATTTTCTTCATAAGTTCTCCACTGCCTAAACCGATATTAAAATCACACTCACACTCTTTGGGTCCTGTCACTGGATCTAACAAACGCCTTTATCCACTGTCCTGTGTATAAATTTTTGGGTATTATAAACCTAATATCATCGGATACATTTTTTTTACCAGTGCTCATATTGCAATTTTTGCTATTATCTACATATTTTTACCAGAGCTCATATTTCAATTTTTTGTTGTTATTATCGCTTTTCTTTGGCACTCTTTATTACTGGTTCCCATGTTGTATTCAATTCTATATAATATAGACAGATACTGAAGTCCAATAACATTGCGGATTTTTCCTTGGATTTTATCAAGAATCTCTAAATGCATAGCAGAAGTACCATACCAGATGTGTTAGTAATATTCTCTGCAAGAACGAGTGGTAGACATATAAATTTGTATTATAATTTATGGCGAGAAAGATTATACAGTGGACCAAATTTCTTTTGCCTTGTGCAAATGATTTTTTTCCTCTTCATCTCAACAGAAAGCCTTAGTCTGATAAGAAAACGTTAGCCTGGTAAGAAGTATACGCTAAGTATTACGTTTCTTTATATTCTATTTTATTTGTCCGTTATAAACTTAACCCGTCAGTAAATACACGGACCAGTAAGCATCATTTAGAAACCACCACGTATATGTACGATTAAAATAACCAAAAATCACTTTATAATATAAAAGTGGACATAGAAATAAAGGAAAGTGGGTTTTTTTTTTTTTTTTGTGGGTGGAGCGGAGTTACAGTTTCATCTATCTTCGAATATTTATCTATTTATTTATTTTCTGGTGTTCATTCAGTGCGGGATTAACACTTTGAACAGAGATTGAAAGCCAAAAAGAGAAATAAAATGAATAGAAAATAAACAAAACAAACGTTATTTATGAAAAGGCTTTACTTTAAAAGTGTTTAATTCTTATTAAATCAGAAAAAAATTATGTTCATGAAATGGGAGGGGAGAAAGGTTTGGTGAGATCATTTCAATTTTTCGATTCAGTCGAGAGAAAAATGACGCATTTGGAGAAGAAGAACGGTTTGTAAAGGACCAGTTGATTTATTCGAGACAGAAAATGACAAATGATTATTTTAATCAAAATACAATTACGTCTCATCCAGCATTACTTTCCATTTCACTTCTTGCCAAGCATCTCGGCTTCAATATCAATCATTTGATAAACTTTCATTTCCTGTTCGGACCATTTATTGGAGTTTTAACTTGATTCGTTATAAAATAGTAATTATAACCTCTTTACGGAACATCTATCTATCTATTATCTATCTATCTATCTATCATCTAATCTATCTTTATTGTTGGTATATATATATATATATATATATATATTTATATATATATATATATATATATATATATGTATATGTATATGTACATATATATTATATATATCTGCCTATTGCAGTTTCTTCATATCTATCTATCAATTTATATATATATATATATATATATATATATATATATATCTATATGTACTTATATATATATATATATCTCTATATATCTTTTCATATCTCTTCATGTTTATATATATATATATATATATATATATATATATATATATATATATATATATTATATGTCTTCCAAATTCATATCAGAATCTATCTATCTATCTATCAATCTATCTGAAATTTGAATCGTTATTTAATTTCTTTTATAATCTCTTTCGGAATATTTATCTATCTCTGTCTATGTTAATAAGTATCTTTCCTCTCTATCTATCTTTTGCTATATATATATATATATATATATATATATATATATATATATATATATATAAATATATAATATGGACAACAATCTTGTAGCAACATCTATCTTTTTATTTATTTCATCTTAATTTTTGTTTGTCTGACTATCTATCTATCTATCTATCCCAGTGAATTTCTTGTCTTCCTATCTATCTATCTATCTATCTATCTATCTATTTATCTATCTATCTATCTATCTATTGGATAATTTAACATTTAGACTCTCTTGATTTATCTATCTATCTATTTATCTATATCATTTTGTTTATATCTCATCTCTATATGGTATTAAATTCTATCTATTCATCTAAGGAGTTTAAATATCTATTATCTATCATCTATCTATCTATCATCTATCTATTTGGGATCTATTTTAGTTTATTCCCATATCTATCTATCTATCTATCTACAGTGTCTTTCATTATCTATTCGATCTATCTTTCTTCGATCTATCTATCTATCTATCTATCTTCTATCTATCTATCTCAGTTTTCCATTTTATCTATTTTCTATTCTATTTATAATCTATCTATCTTATCTATCTATCTCCTTATTGGGTTATCTTTTATCTATCTAATTACTTTACAATCTATCTATCTATCTATCTATCTAGTTTTTCAATTTCTTAGTGGCTATCTATCTATCTGTCTTCTATCTTATCCCAGTCTTTTCATTTATTTCAATACTATCTAATCATTGCCTTTTTATTATCCATTTTTTTCCAATTTTTATCTATCGTCTATCATTCTATCTTATTTTATTTTGTATTTCGATCTAATTCTCATCTCGGTCAACACTTTTTTAGACTTTTTTATTTTCATATTCTTTTTATTTCAAGACAATTTGCAAACAAATTCTCTTTTTATAAAAAAATATATATTTTCTGATATATATAAAATATATATATATATATATTCCACTGTTTGTGTGTGTTTGTTCAGTCTGTTCATCTTAAAATCTATCTATTACTTTCATTCGTCTTTTCGTCTATTATTTCCTTCCTAAATTCATTATGAATATGTTCATATATATCTGGTTGTTCAGTTATTCGACTTTTTTAAAAATTCAATATATTTAAATTAACATCTATCTAGCTTTTCGTATATGTGTTTTATATTTCAGTCTAACAATGTTCTGTTAATTTAAAAAGGTTAATATCCATATCAAATCTGCTCATATCTATTCCACTGTTTGTGTAAAATATTTCTATTTTCTATCTCTCTTCTCTATTCTCAGAAAATCTCTATCTATCTATCTATCTAGCAGTGCATATTATATCTTTCTATATATCTATTTGTATCTTTTCATATATATCTATCTAGCTCTATCTATATCTTTTCATATCTATTATAATTTTTATATCTATCTACCTATCAGTCTATTTCAGTTGTTTCTTATCTATCTATCTATCTATCTTATCTACCTATCTATCTATAACAGTATGTTTATATCTGCCCATGAATTATGAATTTCTTATCTATCTGTCTATCTATGTATCGCAATCAATTAATATATTTATATATATGTATATACATATAAGTGTGTGTTTGTAAGTGTGTGTGCGTTTGTGTCTGTGTGTGTGTGTGTCGTAACCTAGAAAATGTTAATGAATAAGGAATAACTAAAACGGAGGTTGATAATGGCATGGCAATTTTTATAACATCAACCAAATACAACACACGCCAGCGGCGGAAAATACGTAAACCACTGCTAGTGGTGGACTACTTAGACAGCATATTACAGCCAACATACGATAGTGCCCAATGTATTTATACATTAGGATTAATACATAAAAAATAAAGAAAATTCTTGGTTACGGTATATAAAATAATGTTTTTTCAATCTTGTTCCATTTCTATTTAACTATTGTTTTTTTTTTTCATTTAATGTATATATTCCATCTTAATATTCTATCTGTTCATTCTATCAATATGAAATATTGGTGCATTATTAAATATTTTTATCCCTCTGGTTATTATCAGTCGATCTAAATCTGTTAATGTCACAATAATCATATGTATATCATATTTTCTCTTACATATTTTGAGTCTCTCTCTCTCTCTCCCTCTCTCTCTCTTTCTCTCTCTCTCACTGAACGATCATCAATTACATGTTGTAATATATTATAACGATAAAATTGTCCAAAAATACATATGTATTAGCTATGCCAGCTCACCCGATGAAAATATTGCAATTGTTTTTAATTCTTTTGCCGCAGTCTTGAAACCTATGCAGCCGTATATTAACAGATGACCAGAACCAATACATAAATCTAGGACCGAATTGTTTTCTGCAGTTTAAATTTTCTAACAAATAAGACCGAAATTGAAATTCTACATCAGCCATTATCCCAACTGGAAGCTGATGAAGTGATAAAATTTCATCGAAGTCTCAGAGATCTTCTAAGGTAGAAAGACTAAAACATCGCTCTCCTGAATATATATATATATATATATAATAATTGCATCCCATATTTTCAGGAACTATAATAGCAAGTTATCTTTAGGAACCGATTCTGCTTATTTTCTTTTCAATTATTCCTTGCAATAATCATAACAATATTCTAAACGATAATAACCTCAAAACTACCGCAGAATTTAAAAACAGTACTAATATTGCCATCAGACATTATATACTCAACTCTCCCGTCGAATTCAACTTCTGAGCGTCAAGTTGATCAGTTCCAGGTAACCGAAAGTCTGACACCAGCACATGAGGCTTGATGATAGTTTTGTGCAGAACCATCTACACATTTTCAAGGGCCTAATACAGATTGACGAAAAACTATCCACACTAAACGTACCATCAAAATTAAAGAAAGCTCTGATGCCATCCATTTTCTTTTTTTAGAAGATTTATTAAATTCCTCAGGGTAAGTGAATGTTCATGTTTGCACACTGAATTAGAACTCGACATTCCTATTTCACTATCAAATATTTATCGATTAACTGGTGTTCGTGCCTTAAAATTTTTGTATATATAAAATTTTTTCATAATTGTTAAATATATATATCGTGTATTGCATATAATTTATTTATATATATATATATATTATATATATATATATATATATATATATATATCATATTATATATATTTATGTCATCCACAGACAGACTTTACTTACAAATTCAAGCATCGTAAATACCCATAATTGTGTGTTTGTTAGCTGTGATTTTTCACCCGACTGAATTGGTGTCTGTCGGAGTAACAAGTATCAAAATCCCAACAAAATTCAAATGAGCATCCTACTTTTAGAATAGCCATTTTAGATGAATTTGATGAAATGTGTTTCAAAACATCGAAAACCAGGCATTAAATGTTGAAAGTTTTGTTATTTGTTCCCAAATTTTTATTTAGTTATTCTGTTGTTTCATTAACCGTTTGGTCAATTCAGGGTTAAAGTAAATGAAGACCCTGTTTCAGATTAAACATTGTAAAACGTAAAATTTTTAATATAACTTTCAAAAAACTTATGAAACTAGTTAAATCAATACATTTTGATCGATTGAATATATAATTTGAATAATTTCATGATAAACTAACGAATCAAAAAATATATTATTCTATCCACTAACTTTTTCATAATTTCAAGCGAAAGAACTTATTTAAACTATATATATATTGTTATTTATATATGAATATATATATATATATATATATATAAAAAATAAAATATGTAGTGGTTCCAACGATATATAAATATGTATATTAAAAATTAAAAAAAAGGGTGCCGCAAACGTTTTTGGTTGTAATGTGGATTTATTGAGAAAAATATTATACTTTGTTTTACATAATTTCACGACACGTGTTTCTGGTCTGGTCTCGCAAAACCGTCTTCAGGTGAAAGTGGAGATTTTTACATATTAAAAATAATTAATTTTTCTTCATGTTCAATGTGGAATATTCTCGATATGAGACATTCTGTTTTGTGTGTTGGCAATCCGAATTTTCTTTCTAGAATTGTCAATGAAGAGTTCTGCGTGAAGGGTCATTTAATATTAAGGTTTATATTGCTAACCAAAACAATTTTATGTTTATAAATATATAAAAATATATATATCTATATACGGTTTTTTATATATGTATATATATTTTCTTTGTTTCATTATATTTTCACTTTTTTGCTTCAATAGAATTTTTTTGAATTAGTACAGTTTGTCCATTATCCTTCTCTAACCTTTGAAAGAATATCTGATATATATCAAAAAATCAAAGGCTGGCTTTATAAAATTAAATGTTTGGTTTTCCTTCCATTTTACATTCCTTCTTTTTAGGTTAGAATAGCAAATGACAATAATTAATGAGGTCCAAATGAAACATGTTAGGAGGGGCAAAAAAATCCTTTTATTGTTGGTATAAGAAGTCATAAAATTTAATTAATAGACCATTTATGTGGTCAAAAAACAAATGGACGTATTGAGCAGTCTTAAAATATTCAAAAAAATTCCAGTTTTGTTTATTTCTGAAGATGAGAAGTCGTATTGATTTTTCATCGAAGCATCTCTGAAAATGACGACCTCATCTCCCACAGAATAATTGTTTTATGTAGCATATGATATATGTTTGCAAACAGAACAACTGCAATGTCATTCGGCGCTGGCATTGAGGTATCGAAGAGCCGAGTTCGAATTCCAGTCGAATCCATTACATTCGCTTACGTGCTATTATATATGGGAAATATATGGATTATTCTGTTTTCCTCCCCACAGCTATGGGTAAATAGCAGGACAGACTTTCTATTGAAATGAGATGGCAAATGGTCTACCACAGAAAAAAATGACAACCTACTGCAGTCATTGCGTCAGTCATATATGGAAAGATACATGATCGCCTAAGCGTGTATCACGCCTGGCATATTTTTTCAAAGGTTGTATGAGGAAAGTTTTTTAAGATTTTAAGAAATTTTTGTTCTTCAGTAACAGGTATAACTCGGAGATATTGCGTTTTCTGTCCCAGATCACAGCAATAAATTGAATGTAGCAATAAAGCGAGCTAGTCGAAGCTTTTAGCGTCCGGTCAGAGAGATCAGTCTTATTCACGTTATACTCTATTAAATATACAGTAGAATTTCTTATGGAATTAAAACGTACATGTATTATTTAAAAGAGATTTATAATATCGGACACAGATACAGGAAGAGTGAGCTTAGGTTATTTTCAAAATAACGCCAGTCGATTCGATGAACGTAGTGTTGCTGGAAAAAAA